TATTGTCGCTGGTGGTAACAGTAAAGGGGATGCTCTAACACAATGGCATTACCCAAATGGACTATTCGTCGATAGATTGAATACTGTCTACGTGGCGGACTCGAAGAATCATCGAATAATGCGTTGGCCGCACGGAGCAACAAGCGGAAGTATTATCGTTGATGGAAACCACAATAGTGATGAAGAGAACGAGCCTGATTATCTCAAAGGTTTAGCATTCGATCGACACGGCAATCTCTATGCCGTCGATTTTTGGCGCCATCGAGTGCAAAAATTTTCAATCCAATTGTCGCCTCACAATTAACGGACATGAATGGTTTTTCGTTCTTTCTTTCTCGAAAAACATATCGCCAATAAAAGGAAATAGATGAACTAGTACCTTTGGAAATATTGCTTGTTTATCTATTTTTCGCTTGTTTACAGGTCAACATCGGTCAAGTTATATACCTGTTTCCTAGATCTTGGGTGTGGGTGTGGGTGTGGGTGTGGGTGTGAGTGTGAGTGTCTGTACAACCGTTTTTTAAACGCACACCCACATCCACACCCACCAACACCCACACCCACACCCACACCCTACAAAATGATATATAAAACATAAAGAAACAACAAGGTTGACTTATCTATGACATGGATAATTAAAGAGAACTAGGTTATATTTTGGTCCACGATGTAATTGATCCACAAATAGAGCTTTATCTCCCGGTCACACTGATGATACTTTGAGGTTTTCAGATATGGAGAACTCGAATGTATACTGCACTTCCATCGAAATACTATTAGTTGTGCAGTAACCAATACAAATGAAATTATAGGAAAAATGACTTTCTTAGGGTAAATCAAGTGAAAGAGTTCCAATTTGACCTGTATTCGATCTCAAGTCCTATCGGTTTGGCAACCTGCAATAGAAATCAACATTTTAAATGGTAGATTTCACAGTATAATTTTGATGTTCAGACAGTCTAGGATGATTGATTTATATGATTCACTTTTTGAAATACACGTAACTGTCGGATTTTAATCTGAAGTTTCCGCATTTTTTTTATTAAAAAGAATTATTTTTTAAGGAGAGCCATTTTTCAAAAACACAATTACTGAATTTATTTTTATAGATTTGTATATCTTAAAATGGAGGTGTTTGTATTGTAACCGAGCTAGACTTGATATTTTGGCGTCAAAAGAAAGCTCTCATAGACAAACTAACAAGGTTAAAATATTAGCGGCTGTTGATGTATCCTAAGGGGATATTCAATTTTTACTTTAATATCTGTTGGGGTGTACAAGTAACTATATTAGGAGTATTTACATTAATTTTTTATATCTCAACTGAGTATTTCAATAATAGACTACAAGAACCTTTCTGAACTTTATCAATAGCATTAAGATTACATTAGTTTCGATGTCTTCTTTGAACTTAAGTGATATCAATATGGATAAAGATCAGTTAGTAACTATCAGAATCTTTAACTCAAATAGCTTCGATTTTGTTTCAACCGAAAACAATAGATTGTGTAATATACTATTTTAACAAATATATTACAAGTGCAGATATATATTTTCAATCAGATGATAGTAACAGAGAACTTTTTTGCACCAAGCGCACTTTAATAGTGTTCGTTCGTTGCAGTTCTTAATTGAACAGTATAGATCGTAAAATTTGAAGCAAACATCTTTTGGTTTGTCAAGCTGTCCCATTGTTTCAAGTATTATTCCAGCTTGTTTAAATCCATCCTTAATGAGATTTTTAAACTGCGGAGCTGATAATTTATTGTGAATAACAGAATGCGTGTTGATGAAATATTGACGATCACTTATAGTCATTTCTGTTCGATTGATATGAATATAATGTTCGATTTTTTCATGAATAAATCGTCAGGAACGAAACAAAGAAAGATCTTGTAGTTGAATATAACCTGTTGACCCTTCAGGAAAAATCATTAATTGATTGTCTTGATTAGGAAAGACTGCTCTAAATTTTGTTAGATCAGCTTGAGTTTTCCAAGAATCAAGAAAAAGAAGAAATTTTTCACCAACCAATGGACCTAAAACTTCATTTAAAAAAGCATGATGTTTTTCATCACTGCTTATTCCTGATTTTGAAGCTTTGACTATGACATTTGGTGGTACAACTAAATTTTTTGCACATTTTTACCAAATGTATTTTCTTTTTCCTCAAGAATAAGCAAGAACTTTTCTAATAAATGACCATTAGCTGATGTAACCGGTTGGACTGTATAAGAATGTGTTGTATTATATTTCTTTTTAACAGTCACTTCTGGTGTTCTTTCAACTGTAAAAGAAAGAGTTCTTGGTGGAATATATTCTTGTTGAAATGAACAATGATCACTGTTTAAAATTTGATGAGAAGAATACTTTGATATTAATGTTTTTTTACTATCCATTCGATTGTGAGCATCTAAAATATACATGTATATTGTATTCAGACATATGTATTTAAAGACCAAATAAAAGTTTACTGTTTGGTTTAGTTCGAGTGACAATTTTGTTATATCTTCTTGACGATATTCTATTTTCTCTTTTAAAAGTATTGATAAAAGATTTGCTGGCCTTGAATGTATCCCAATTTAATTCTCTTGCTTTTTGAATTGCATAAAGTTCAAGATCAGCATCATGAATGGCTTCTTTTTCCATTGTTCTCTTCAGATAAAATTCATTAAACATAAATTCTTTAATTTGTTTTAATTTTTCTGATCTTTTACCATCATTTTCAATATATTGTCTAAATCTTGTAATATAATTCCTATTTTTGATTTTTTTAAATCGATTGGAAACAGTTGCAAATCTAACATTCGGATGTTGATCAACCAATTCGATTATATTTTCCATTTCTTCCAACGTAAAACGATTTTTTAAATCAAAGCCATCATTCTCAACATAATCATCCATTTCATCGTCGTTCTCTTCTTCATTAGTCACTTCATCATATTCATCTTCATATTAAAGAGTGTCATAAATATACAGTTCACTGGAATAGCTATCTTTAAATGACTTCAGAACTTCGAATAATCGTTCGGCAGTAAAAATTTCATCGGCAGTTGTCGTAGAATTTTCAGATCTATATTCAATTTCAGCCAAATGGAAAAGATGTTTAGCGATGTTCAATAAATACATGCTTTAATTTAATGAAATAAACGTGTTAACTCGGTAAATATAGCAGAGAAGGAAAGACAATAATTCTTTCACAGTATATTTCATTGTGATTTCTTAATACCAATTGGAAAGAAATGATCAATAACAACTATTCTTATATTGCAATTTCTTTTTTTGCTTTTAAAGCCATCCCTCCTAAACTTACACTGACGTTATTATAAATTGTAAAAGCCAGCTTTTAACCTCAATATCCCATCCCATGTCGTTAAGATCGTCTGATGTTAGCAGATTACCGACGATACAGATTTAAAATGATCATCACTTGCGATTTTTCGTGCTGTAACCTGAAAAGATGTTGATTATTTATGCGCTTCTATCAACGAGCCATCAGAATTAATCGACAATATTTCCCACTTTATAGCAGAAAAAAATGACCAGTGATCACTATTTTGATATAGAATCATGATTAATCGACAAAAGTGAAGGGGTTTTGACGACATGAAATGTCGTCTACGTGTCTCGATTCATGAGAATACTTCCTCTTCCCAAAAGTTACACATTCCTGCATCCCCTTCTGACAACCAATTGCTTACCATCAATTCCGGAAAAGCAAAAACGGCCCTTTCCCTCAAAAACGTGCAACAACCAGGAATTCCTGATTGTTAGGTCCCTTCATATCCCAAATAACAACATCACATTCCTGGTCATTCCGGGTGATTCCGGAATTCCGAGATCTCTGCACATGCAGACATATTAGCATATGCAGGAATTCCGGGTCATTCCTGCCTATTCCGGAATTACAAATATCTCATGGATGACTAGACAATCACTTCTCCACCTTGAAGAAATGCAAAGCGGAATTCCGGAATTTCTGCCCATGCAGACACACTAGCATATGCAGAAATTCCGGATCATTCCTGCCTATTCCGGAATTACAAATATGTCATGGATGACTAAACGATCATTTCCCCAGCTTGAAGAAAGGCAAAGCGGAATTCCGGAATTTGTGCACATCCGTAATCATAAGGATATGTAGGAATTCCGGATCATTCGATATGGATGCAATTCGCGAATTTCAAAACTGAATTGCATCTTCATTTTTATCGGAACGTTAAGTATAACATGAACACATGTATCTATGCAGGAATGTGCAGGAATTTCTGGTCACTAAATATCGATGCAATTACGGAATTCTAAAGCGGAATTGCATGCTTATTTTTATCGCAACATTAAGTAGAACATGAATAAATGTGCTTATGCGTGAATGTGCAGGAATTCCTGATCATTCAATATCGATGAAATTCCAGAATGCGAAAGCGGAATTGCATCTTTATTTCTTTCGGAATGTTAAGTAGAACACGAGCACATGTACCAATGCAGGAATGTGTAGGAAATGCAGGAATGTGTAGGAATTCCTGGTTATTCCATATCCATGGATTTCCGGAATTCTAAAACGGAATTGCATCTGCATTTTTATTGCACTTTTCAGTTGAAAGTGAATACATGAGCCTGTGCAGGAATTCCGGAAAATTCGATCGCATATGTAGGAATTGGATGTCAGCAATTCCGGAATTGAATGATGATGAGTTTTATGGCTTAGTGGAATGCAGGAATGTGGGGTGTGTGGGTGTGGGTGGGTGCGGGTGTGGGTATGGCCCCCCCCCCCCCCCCCCCCCCCCCCCCCCCCCCCCCCCCCCCCCCCCCCCCAAAAAATAAAAACAGAAAAAA